TAATACATAATAATAATAATAATAATAATAATACTACAAACAATAATAAATAATACTATACACATACACAGATATACATTTGTATCATCAAGCCAACAAAACATGAAATTATTCTTTGTAAAGCCAAACTTTATATAATAAAACACCAAAGTAAATGAATATCCGAGCTGAGAGGCACCAGGGGTACAGGGGTATTCCACTTATCACATAAAATGAACGGATGTCAAAACTCCATTTCTGCACGTCACGTTCCACATGCACCCCAGTGATGCTCAACTCCTCCCACTACACAAGTAAAAGACCAATAAAAAACTTGCGCTCTCAGCTGAGAAGCGTACATCTGTAGCGGGCACGTCAGGATAACTGCAGTTCTCGTGTAGTGCTGACATTTAACCCTCCTCTATGTAGCAATTCATTTCCAGCATCGAGCAGCGTAGGCTCGGCCTTGTCAAGTGCACTGCGACTACATGCAGCAGCCGTTCGGCAGCAAGCTCCCATATGGTCTAGCGGTTAGGATTCCTGGTTTTCACCCAGGCGGCCCGGGTTCGACTCCCGGTATGGGAAGTACATTTTTACACTTGCGGACGGGTTTAAACACAGAGCTGTAAATAGGATTTGCTTTTTTTTTTTTTCCCTTGCAGCTACAAAGGTTACAATTATTCATATATTGTGTAGCAGAAGTATGCTTCTAGTTCCAGACCAACCACCGTAAAACATAAAATCATGAAATAAAGAAAGTAGTGTGTCTGCTCACCTCCAACCCTTTCAATGGCACCACGCGTTTCTTTTTCAATTCAACACATTTCCTCATTTTGCAGATCTGGTGGCTGGTGCTCCGGTTGACACAGTTGTAGCAGGCTCCACACGGTTCTTTCCTCAGGCATGGTGTACAGAGCCCGCATCGCTTCCTCTTCTTATGGGGCTGCTCTGCCTTCTCCGCGGTACTACTGCCGCCAAAGGAGCTGCCATCAACCATGCCGCCAATGTCAACGGCTTTCTCTTCGGGTAACTGCACCAGCTCCGCCGGTAACTGCACAGTCTTCAGCCTCTCGAGAGATTCTGCATCATCACAGAAGTCATATATATCTTGAGACCCCATGTGAGGCACAAGGGCAGGCTGGGTCTCCATCATTGCGCTGCCAACTTCGAGGACCCCCCCCCCCACTCCCCAATATGCAATATTTACAACAGCAGATCTGCTAATAGACCATAAGGCCGACCGGTGTGTGGGGTCAGGTAAATGTTATCTAGTTCTATGAACTATTGCTAAAAAACTTTGAGATGTGATACACCGTTTAGGTCCCTTCATTTGGATGAAAAGCCTGGTTTAGGGTAAACTTGCATGGGGGGAAAAAGGTCCTTCTAGAGCCCCAAATTCCTCTTATCCCAGCCCAGCAGACGTATTAAAGGGAAGCGCGAGCGGATCTCCCGGAGGTTTCCCTTTCCCCCCTGACAGCTCATGGTGACGAAAGCAGAGGTAAAGCGTGCACTCTACTATCCTGATGAAAAGAAGGTATACCAAGTCTTCCGCAAAGGTTTCCTATAAAAACAGAGGAACATATTCTGTGGGTCAGAAGCTGGTCAGGTTTTCACGGCAACTTCAAATCAAACTTTTAAACCAAATGCATACATTCGACTGTGACATGTACAGGCAATGACACTTGATGTGGAATTTGCAGCTATTTCAACTTATACATGAAGTTTAAAACTTTGAAATCCTTAATACCGAGCTCAGATAACATCTCCAGGATACCGGACCGGTCTGGAAGCTGCGGCAGACCATTTGACAGCACGGCATTACACACTGAAATGTGTACAATGTAAACACCCTACAAAAACATACATAAAAACACACACACACACAAAGCACAAAATAAAAGTATAAAATCAACCAGAATGAACAATTAGCTGAAACACAGACCCCGGTCAGCATAAACAAAACTTCCCAGTCCCACTGCAAAAACTTTGTCTATATATAAACAGACAGGAGGGCCCTACAAGTGCTGGGGATGCATGAACACAAAGCACCCTGCATACAGTATAAACACAATTACATCCACCAAAAATACATGCAATACACACCAAAGACTAAGGGCCAACACACTGAGAGCTAATGGCTCATTATCAGTGACAGGACAGAGAACCCCTTGGATTCTTTGTTCTGAGGCTGCTGGGACTGTACAAGCAGGTCGTCCCTCCTCCCCCCCCCC